AAAATAATTCATTATAAATCATCACATGTATGCAAGATTTTGTAATCAAATTACCAGCCGCTAGAACCAAATCTGGTTTTTTGTTTTCAAACATTTTCAAATCCTCTATATCATTCCAGGACAATTGAACTACATCATATTTACAATTAAATTTATGATGTGTTTCATTAATTTGTAAATTGTGTTTTAAGGTGTTTAAAACAGCTGAATGACAGTCTGTAAACCAATATTCACTTGGGCTACAATTTAAACATGCGCTTATTCCACTCAACCCTGTTCCACAACCTAATTCGATGACRAATTTGTCTTTGAGTATATCTTGGTTTTTCAAACACCAACAGCTAAGTGCTATACCTGCCTAAAAGAAATGTAATAGCTATTTAAGTAATACAATAATACATTCACTAAATAATTTTTAAAATCTGACCTGCCAAGTGCAAAGTCCTGTAGTTCCTTGYGAAACAATACTGGTACTTTCTTGAATGGTTATGACAGATTCAGTTAACTCATTATTAATATTATTACCAAGTACATAATGTTTATAAAAAGGTCCTTCATTTGATTCATTTTGGATGAGCTCAACATACTTTAAATATAATTCATCACACAATTCGTTTCCGCTATTTTCCATCTGAAAAGTAATTAATAAAAACTAAGTATTATATAATGTATTTAATACACAACACAAATATATGGTAATTCACCATTCATTAAAAGTAAATAAAAAAAAATAATGAATACATTAATTTTATGAAATATGCTAATTTATAGAATCAGTATTTACCAATACATTACTGACCAAAATGAGCAATATCATGAAAAATTCAAAGAAATTTGATTTCATAGTGGAATTTGAAGATCTTGGAAGACTTGTTAGAACAATTAGTAAAACAGCTAATATTGCTTTATAATAATTTATCATGGGATGTGTTTATACTTCATGATGGATTTCATTTGCTTATATTTTAGCACATCCAGCTGTCAAAAACAATATTTAAAAAATGCTTATCATTAATGTTTAAGAGATGACATTAGTTTGTTTCCAAAATTCATAATATATGAT